TACAATAAAGTCAAATAATGTTACTTAAGTGAAAATATTTACTGTTTTCTGATCAAGTAACAAATTTTCACAAGTATTAAATTTAAACATAAGTAAATATAGTTAAAGGCTAATTAAAACAGGTTTGTAATTTTAATTGCGACAATACAAATACATATACATTATGCAATAGAATCAAATAATGTCACTTAAGTGACAATTAAGTAAATACTGTTTTCAGAGCAAGTGGACTTCTTACATTCCATGTACAATATTGAAAAGAAATTACGAATTTTGATGATTAATACTTTCATACAGGTTTGTAATTTTAAATGGGACACTACAAATGTATAGATATTATGAAATAAAATAAAATAATATCAATGAAGCTTCTTTATTGGATATGCAGTCTCGCGCTGTTCGTGTATGTTACTTCTTTTCTGTTTGTTCGTAGCAACGCTGTTTACCTTTTGCGAAACTTGAATCAAGGTTAATTATACACCTAGATACTTAGACATTGAAATCATAAGAAAAAAAAAAAACAGATAAGATTAGAATTATCATCTTGATAAATATTTTCGTTTGAAATTTCCGGAATATTATTTTTTAAATCTTAAAAAGATGTCTGAGAGAATTTATTACTTTACAAATGAGAAATAAAATAATCATATAAAAATGAGCGTTCAAAGTAATTAAAATCTATCACTTTGAAAATTTTAAACCTAAATAAATATAGTTAAAGCTATTTAAAAAAGGTTTGAAATTTTAATTAGGATAGTACCAATGCAAAGATAATATGCAATAAAATCAAATAATGCCACTTAACTGACATTTAAGTACTTACTGTTTCTTACATTTCAATATGTAATCATTTATAAATCCGCAAAATCATGTAAAGTATTTCAGATATACTTTTATAAATGCTTTTAAATTTTGCAAAATTACAATGTATTTATAAGTAAAAAAAAAAAAAAAAAATTTAAATCACTTTTTATTATACAGTTTTTTTATTAAAAATATAAAAAGAAAGGTGGGTCTTAATTTATTCTCTTTCAGTAGAATGAAAAGATAAACTTAAAGCTCGACGTTAAATGATTTATAGAATATCATTCGACGAGAAGAATAACTCTCTTTTATTTTGAAAACTCCCAAATGGAATGTTTACTCTCAGTAACTAGAAATAATAATTACTTTTTGTCACTAACTTTAAATTTCCTTTTAGTGTGACAAAATTCTTTTCAGAGACGATGAAAAAAAAATTGCATGTTGAAACGTAAAAACGCTTTTTCTTTCGAATTTCTCTCACCTAGACATAATAATTTTAATATTAACTCAATTCCAGCATCTTCAGAGAGAGAGAAAAAAATTACTCCAAACAAACTTCAAAGAGATTTTCGGAAATGAGATTTTTATTGGCGTCAATTTTTACTCGATCAGAATGAAAATCGCATTCATGACGACTGCCTTTTGAAACAGGAATATTTGATCTTTTCCCAGTTTTCGCGGAAACCAGTTTTGCCGTTTTCTACTTATAGATAAAGGGAAATTCAATTTGCTTCTTTTTTGGATATGCAGTCTCACGCGCTCGTATATGTTACTTCTTTTCTGTTTACTTGTATCAATGCTGTTTATCTTTTTACAATCTGGAATCAAAGTTTATTATACACCTAGATGCTTAGACGTAGAAAACCATAAAAAAAACAAATATAAGATTAGAATGATAATCGTGATAAATATTTTCTTTTGAAATGTTTGGAATATTATTTTTTAAATCTTAAAAGATGTCTGAAAGAACCTTTAGAAATAAGACATAAAAGAATCATATAAAAATTGATAGCGATAAGAGAAAATGAATTTGTCTCTTCTAAACATTAATAAAGTTATGAAATGATATTTATAACAAATTTGTAATTTTAATTGGGACAGAAATAATATATAAATATTATGCAATACAATCAAATAATGTCCCTAAGTAACATTTAAATACCTACTGTTTTCAGATCAAGTAGACTCCTTACAATGTTTGTGCAGTATTGAAATGAAAATACGATATCTGATTATAAAAGTTTCCATACAGGATTGTAAATTTAATTGGAACAATGCTAATATATATGCAATAAAATCAAACAATGTATCTTCAATGACATTAAATACATACAGTTTTCAGATCAAATGGACTCCTTACAATCCTTACTCCTTACAGCATTGGTAATAAATCATGACTTTTGGGAATCAATATATCCGTACAGTGTTTTAAAATTTTTTGAAGCAATGATAGTAAAAATGATTAGACAAAATGTTCAAAAAGTTGTAGTAGATTATGTTCACCAAAACTTAAGAAAATTAAGTTACAACAAAGTCTTTAAGAAGGTCTTGTGAGAAAATAAATGCTTAAATAATCAAAGCAAAATTAAAGTTTGTGTAATTTCCATATATCATTACGAAAATATTGTGAAAAATATGATTATTCTGGAAATTAGATTATTATAACATACTTGTATCTTGAAGGAGATTGTATTTAAAAAATATTCATCTTTTAGATCATAAACAGTGAATAGCTTTTTGAATGGGGTGATAATAGTTTTTATAAAACCCATTCTTTTATTTGCAGAATGCTATTCCACCTCAAATTGAGATAATATATTTTATATTTTAGAGAAATATATATTTGGGAATATATATTGGGCTTATATATTTTGAAATAAATGTCCAACTGATTACTTTTTAATTTAATTATTTAAAAAAACCTTCACATCCTTTAATTTCAGAAATGTTGAAATGTTTCACTAGATTGAAATAAAAAAAATGATGTAGACTTTATTTGTAATGACTTGTTGTTATCATTACTAGTTTTATAAGAGGCAAGCTCGATCCATGTTTCAAAAAATCTCAAGAAATCAAAAATCATAACATGAAAAGACTCGATTAGGAATATTCTATTTAGAATATCAAAGGAAAATAATATAAGCCTTAAATCTCAATTCAAATTAATGTATTAAGATACAAAATTTTTTATTTTGGCAAAATTTATAGCTATAAACTATCCATAAAAATATAACTATCCTCCCTATTTCATTTGGAAAGGGACTCATTGTCTACGCGACTGACTATTACATGGATTATAATACTATTCCTCTCACTAAATACAAACTATACAATCTAATCTATTATTAAGCTATTATACTATGCATTATGACTTGCTATACGGGTCATTATAAAGGCAGATATGTAACATGCTTAAGATTATTTAGAGCACCATTTGGATCTTAAATGCACTCACATATTACCACCACAAATTTGAAGGAACACCGCAGAGGAGGGAGAACAAATGGTCATATTTTTCCTTTAAGCACAAAGGAAGATTTTAAGACCCATGGATTTATTGTGGTTATATATGACATAGAAACATAAGCTTTAATTTAGGCTTTGCTTATTGAGTTTGTTTTTTTTACATCGGTGGGACTTATGTTTCTCTTATGTAAGCCATGCACAGCCCACAGATGGGCAATGAAGAGAAGACATTGACTTCCTAAGGGATTTTAAATGTAACTTCTTGATGTGCACTTGTCATTTGGGATAAAACTCGAAAAACACCTTCTAGGGAGTTTGACTGTCTATGAGGACGCTTATAAATATTACTACAATCTCCGAGTTTCCTCCTTATTGAAAGTGATGACTTGATCCTTGTTATGATTCAAACTAGCACTCGTACTTACTTGCTTGTACCTACCTTGCTCAAGCTTGTACCTACTTGAACGCTAGATACGTACATTTCCTTTGGGTTCAATAGAGCCTTGTAAGGGTTGAATTCGTCTGTTTTGGCTCATAAATCCAAAACGCTATTCACTACACCACTTTGGCTATTCTAAATTGCAAATGTAACTTTACCTAAATTAGACTGTGGCTAAGATTTCAAATATCCCTCGAATTCGTATAGAACTCCCTAGAATTAGAATTATTAACAATGGTAGAACCCTAGAATTATTAACAATGGTTTTTGTCGCAATGTCCTTTATATCTTAATCAAACAGAGATGGGCTCAATCTTAATACTAAACTGTAGTCTTGATTTTTTTACCTTAATTTTAATAGACAAAATATTGAAAACTATTTAGAATCCTTGTAGATACCTGAAAATATCTGAAATATTCTTGATACTTTTAGTAATCACCCTTTAACATCATATTGTCTGTAAAATTTCTTTATTAACAGCTCTATTTGCCCTTTCATTTTAAGCTATGAATAAAATATTTATTCATGAATTTATAGCATATAAATAATTCACATTATTAAAATTCTAATTGAACTTTTACTTTTTAATTTTCAGGATAATATAAAAAGTGAATGAGTAATATAAAGTATTTCCTAATATTATAGAATGGAATACTGTTCTAAATTTTGTAATATACATTATAATAGTAGGCACTTTTCAAACAAATGGGATTTTATTTAAATGATAAGGGTTTAATAAATTGAATCTAAAGATTAATCAATTCATAAACAACAATAACAATAGCGAATAAAAGTAAGTCTGATTTTTTGTTGCGTAGAATACAATTTTATATCCATAGATGTAAATTGAAAAAAAATTGAACGATTTAGAAATCCCTAAATAAACATTAATTTTTACAAAATTACGAATCTTCTCCGCTGGTGATCACTAGGGCTGGGTTCAATCCATTGGTGGTTTTGTTACAGATACTGTTTCAAAAAACGAAGACACTCAATGGCGTTTGCGACTTTACTCATTTTGTCTCGCTAGTCGGACTACATGGTGGGAGTTTCCGGGTTTTCTCCCGTACAATATGTAAATGTGGGGAGTTCCTCTAAATGTACTCCCGAAAGGCACTGCCCGTTTTTCGAAGAAGGAGGACACTGAGACTAGTCAGACCTCTACCTATGGGTGCTCCATCACAACAGAAGTTGCCCTCTTCCTTTCTTTCCTTCTTTGAGAATATATATGTTTATGGACTTGGATTCATGGATATATATATATATATATATATATATTTATTATTAGCCAACGGCCATACCATGTTCGATATACCGGTTCTCGTTAGATCACCGAAGTCAAGCATCATTGGGCGCGGTCAGTACTTGGGTGGGTGACCACCTGGGAGAACACCGCGTGCCGTTGGCATTCACAAATTTGGGACCTGAATGGCCGAGTGTCTAGCACTCTGGAGCTCGGTGCCACAGGTTTCGGGTTCGAATCCCGGCGGTGCCATGGATGTTTGTAGTGGTTCGGAATCCACTTTAAGCCGTAGGTCCCGGTCTCCTATGACTGTAAGAGCGTCACGGAGCCAAAGTCAGACTTCCACCTGCGGGTGCTTTATCACAACAGAAGCTGCTTCCTTCATCTTCAATCATGAGTAAGAAACAACAACAACAACAATATTTACAAGGGTTTATGGATGTATATATATAGAGAGATATATATATAACCATATATTATGTAATTTATTCATAACAATTCAATATTTATTATATTTAAAATTAATACGTTTCCAAAAAAATACTGCCAATACCTGTAAATATATATATATATATATATATAGATATATTGTAATAAATGAATAATATATATAATATTTCTTGTTGTACTATTATGAGCTGAAAAATTTTTTATGTTCCATACTATACTTTCACCAATATCTTTCACAGTTCCATTATCGATCTCGACTTAAGTAAAGTGTCAGATTCTTCGCATAAGAAGGAAACTTGAAAAATGGAACGAAACTCCCGTGATTTGATCCTTTAGGACTGAAGAATAAGAACAGATCTATTTCTCAGGAGCGAAATAATCTAAATGTATGGCAGCTGATTCCCCAAAGTGAAAATTCCAGGACTCAGAGAAGAACTTTTTCTCTTTTCAATATGAGTTCCACGAGCATATTCAGTAAAGACTCAAGTTTCATAAATCACTTTCTGGAATCTTCAACAGCTGGTATTTACGAAAAGAATAGAATATTTACCCAGATTTATTCATTCATCAGAAAGTGTAAACATCTTTTTGAAAAAATACTCTTTTGGAAGTTGATTTGGTAATAGAAATTGCTATTTGATTTTTGATGTGAAAATTCTGTTGGGAAATTTACGAAATACTTTAAAAAAAAGGTTTTTATTTCTAAATTTTTTTATTTTCTATATTTTAATTAAAAACTGGAAACTTGTTAGTTTACTTTTAAAACTACCAGTGAAATTTTTAATTATAACATGATGCTTTTTTTGGCATATTTTGAAAACTGTAATATTTTCTATGTCTAATAATAAAATAGGTAAAACCCTTTATTTACAAATGAGCTTAAAAAATTTTTATTAGGCATTACATTTTAGTGGCTAACTAATGCCATATTCGTGGCCCAGTGGCTACGTGCGACTGAACTATCGTGCAGAAGATTTTAATCTTCTGGTGGCATTGCTGTAGTCACTGCTTTCAGAAACGACGAAACTCGATGTCCTCGAATTTTTTCTATATACGAAAGCACATGCCAAAGCACATATACGAAAGCACATGCCAAAGCACATATACGAAAGCACATGAGAAAGCACATGCGGGGTAGTTCCCCTAAAAGTCCTCCCGGAAAGCACTACATTCCTTCTGAAGAAGGAGGAGGACACTTATCCAAGTCAGACTTTTACCTACTTGTGCTTTATCACAACAGAAAATGCTCTCCCCTCTTCCCTCCTTCATGGTCTTGGTCCAGATGTTGCTGTCGATCAAGTGTGACAAGAAACAATAAAAACCAATATACATATATATTTTATATTTAAACATTTTTATTATGCAATTTATTCATAATAGTTCAATATTTATTATATTTAAAATTAATGTTTCCAAAAAAAATACTGCCAATACCTGTAAATAAATAAATAAATATATTGGATAGGTGCATAAATATCAGGTGTGTACAAACGATATTATCAGGCGTTCTTGAATGCTATTTATTATGAAAAAGGAAACGAAAATTATATGAATATATTATTATCGATTAAATAATCTAAAAATATATGTCCAAATTTAAATTTATACAATATTGTAAATTTTTATTAAAATATACCACGTAAAAGAAACGCCTGATAATTATGAACCAAACCTATATACATATATATTAAATGTTATATATATATATATATATATATATGCGTATTTTGCAATAAATGAATAATATATATCATATTTGTTATTGTATTATGGGCTGAAAAAGTTTTTACGTTCCATGTTATACTTTCACCAATATCTTCCACAGTTCCATTATCGATCTCGAGTTAAGTAAACTGTCAGATTCTTCGCATAAGAAGGAGATTTGGAAAATGGAAGGAAACTCCCTTGATTTCATCCTTTAGGACTGAAGAATAAGAACAGATCTATTTCTCAGGAGCGAAATAATCTAAATGTATGGCAGCTGATTCCCCAAAGTGAAAATTCCAGGACTCAGAGAAGAACTTTTCTTTTTTTCTTTTCAATATGAGTTCCACGAGCATATTCAGCAAAGACTCAAGTTTCATAAATCACTTTTTGGAATCTTCAACAGCTGGTATTTCTGAAAAGAATAGAATATTTATCCGAGATTTATTCATTCATCAGAAAGTGTAAACATCTTTTTCCAAAAGTTCTCTTTTGGAAGTTGATTTGGTAATAGAAATTTGCTATTTGATTTTTGATGTCAAAATTCTGTTGGGAAATTTACGAAATATTTCAAAAAAGAAAATTTTATTTATTTAATAATATTTATTATGACAAGTGAAGAATTCATAAAAAACCCTAAAAATTTCAAGAATAATACCTACTAGTTAGAAAACAATTAAAATAACTACTTAACTATAATCTATTTACTGTTTGTTTGTTTTTTAAGTATTTATAGAAAAATATTTTTACTGCACTTCCATTATATTGAAGAAATAAATTTCGTATTACTTAGAATTTCAAACGCAGTTATATTTATTTTAATATTAATTATGTTTATTTAAAATCAAAACTTAAATTTCATAAAATTTCTAGAGCTTCAATCATGACAATTTTTAACTTTCCAAAATTATGTCAAATAACTTCAATAACATCAATAAATTTTTGTACAATAATTTTATGGTTCAAGGATAAAAATATGTCCTATGTGATTTGCCCAAAGGAATTCTTATTTCAGTTTAGGTGACACCAAGGTCAAAATTCGACTAACTTCATTTTAGACCATTACTATATTTGTCACTGGAATTGCACAGTTTGTGTCTATTTTTAGAAAATAAATGTTAATTTTCTCACGTACGCTGCAAAACTTGTTTTAGATGAAATTTCCAGCATTCAGAAACTGAAGTAACAACAAAGCAAAAAGTAATAATATTTAATGTCAGTTCTAACTTTCAAATATTGTAGTAAAGGAAACAAAGATGTATGAAAATTATATGAAGGGAGGATCTACGTTTCTCCTAAAGTAAGGAATGACACGTGTGAATCCATTCGTTCTTGTTTTTTTAACAAATTTTCTCTCCAGCATACAAGAGCAGTCTTTAAATCCTCCAGAGTCATAAAAGAAAGAAAAAAATGGATGTCACAGATACCCAGTGAACCGCCCAGAACCTATCGATTTGCTCACCCGTAATCCTTGACGAAAATAAATGCAAAAAGTATTCCGAAGACATGTTTCTCGCGAAGCAGTTGGACTGCACTGGTGATGCATAAAAGTCACCTTTCACGTTTTGCTGACGATGAAGTGTATAGAAATGATGATAGATGATATGTGTAGGAACGATGCGTTTTTTTTTTCAATTGTTGAACTTCAAGACGTGTGGTATTTTTTGTAAAAGTATTTTTAACAGAACATGTGAGGGTATTTCGAATTTACGAATAAAACATAAACCATAAGGGAATTAAATTAGGTAAATTCAAAATAATAAATATAATACAATCAAAAAGCAAAATTTCGATACATATCTATGCCCTTCATTAATATGATGAATATGCCCTTATAGTAAAGTAGTATTGCATTACAACAATAAAACAACAATATTACATTACAAAAATTCATAAAAAAGACTAATAAATTGTAATCATAATACTTAACTAGCCAGAATACATTTAAAACAACTGCCTAACCATTATCTAATTACTGATTTTTTTTTGTACTTGACAAAAAAAAATCATCAACTCTCTACTTGATAAATATGATAAATTAGCAATTATAGTAAAGTAGTATTGCATTACAACAATAAAACAACAATATTACATTACAACAATTCATAAAAAAATAATAAATTGTAATTATCCAGGTAACAATTAAAATAACTGCCTAACCATTATCTATTCACTGGTTGTTGTTCTTTTTAGCTCCTGACCAGTTAGTTTTGTTCTTGACAGAAAAGTTCATCTATCTATCGTTTTGATAAATATGTTGAATATGCAATTATAGTACCTGTATATCATTCCAGCCGATTATAATTTTTTAATTATTATTTTAGTTTTTATATTTTTCAACAAAGAGAATTATTTCAAATCATGGTATATACATATACATGCAAATAATGTACATTATAACAATAAATATAAGAAAAATTAGGTACTAATTGCCCCAAAGGTTTCTTACAATATTAGTAATTTGTTAATCTTAATTATTTTTGGAGAGATAACAGGAAGTACTTATTAAATCCGAATTGTTAAATATAAACTAATAGCATATTAGTTTAAAATTCTAACAGTTTATAAATTTGAAAAGAAAGATTTTTAATAGCATAGCACATATTAGTTATAGCTCACATATTAGTTAAATATTGTTCTGCGCAATTAACAACTTTTAAAATTAACATAAAATAGAAATATATTTTTTTTCGAATTTTTTTTTAATTGTTTCTATTTTCTTATTAATTATTTACTAACACATATTTTTCTCACACTGTCAAGAATGCCGTCATTATTTTCTTAGCGCAAGACTCTTGTAGCAGTGAAACAATTTTTACAGAGGAAGTAATGACAGCTTCTAAAAAACAGAGAATGTTTTGCAAAATACCAAATCACATCTATTCCACTAATATTGAGCGTTCTCTATGAATTTGTTGAAATACTTTTCAAAATACCTTTCAACTATATTAGCGTATTTGTTAAACTCTTAGATACGAAGATGCTTAGAGAAAAGCAATATTATT